CTCGCCGTAAAAATAGCCACTGCGTTTTTTAAAAGGTAGTGTTAATTGCACAGAATTCTGTGGTTAATTGCCACCGAGTAATTGAAGCTCTTTTGCGTTGGTGAGTAGATCTAGCCTATTGTGCTCAAGTGCTCGATGTTGTGCGTTGGCCTCTCTGTCCCGGCCTCTGTGTGTGTGTGTCTGTCTGTGTGTGGGTTTTCCTGATGCCGGTCCCCCCGGATTTATGTTCCGCGATATAAAATTAATTTCTGCTTGAGTTTGTGTGCGTTTGTGACCTTCTACTTCTAGAATTGCCTGTGTAGGTTCTATACCGAAGTGTAGGCTAAGGTTAGCCTAGATCTAGGCCTACGTCTCATTGAAAACCCGCAAAGTTGATACCGTAGCTCTAGACTTGATGCTCGTCCAATGAAATTAGAGAAAAATTTGGCCTCATTAGACGCACATTATGAATAGAGCTCTAAAGATAGTGTTGTTTTCAGACTTGACACTGCTTCAATGGGTGGCAATTGACACTACCGTCAATTTTTGTCAATTGCCACAGCGTCACTCGGTGGCAATTGACGCTACCTTTTTAAAAATAAAGTATAGCTTGGTCTTCCTTCTGGGGTGTTGTTACAGTATCCCTTTCTGCCCGGGTTGGCCTGGGCAGGTAGCGCCGGAGCCAGCCTCTTGTCTTATAAATGTTAATGATCTAAATTGTGTCGCTGGGGGCATTTAAAAACACTTTCGTGGGTGGTTGGTGGGTGCTCTGGTGTGGTTTGCTCCTTCTTTCCTATCAAACATCTATCGTCCTTATCTCCCCTCCTTCTTTTTTATGTTTGTTACTCTCTTGTAACGCCTCTAATCTTCTGGCGCTCATATGACCTTGTGCTGTTGTGAGCGCCGTAAAAACCTCTGCTTAAAAAACACTTTCATTCAGATTTTTTTCAAAGGAAAACAACACCTGTGAAAACTTCTGTCCACTGCAGCATTCTATCGGTTCTTGCACTTAAACACAACACAGGTGGAGGGCATTTTTACTAATTGACTTGCCTAATCTCGGAATAAAACCTTCTTTCTTATCTAGATTTTTTGCGTGAGTGCAGCACAGGTAGACCACAGTTTCGCTGCGAGAGAGGGCTCCAATCAGGCGTGCGGTGCCGCCCACAGAGCATTCTCAATTACTGTAAACTCCTTGGCTAGACAGCTGGGCTAGCCGTGCTTATTCTTAATATGATGACTAGACTGACCATTAAAAAATAGACCTACTGAATTGTAAATATTTATATAAATTTTTAGTTTGCAGTACCTAAAGTATTTGAGACGAAACCAGATGCCTTAATAATAATAATAGATAATAATAGATAGCATTTGTATAGCGCATATCCCCGCTCAACAGCAGGCTCTATGCGCTTTACACTATATTATTACCCCAGCAGACCATAGAACACTCCGAAACATTCTCAGCTTCCCGGGAAGCATACAGTGCAAGCAGCTGATTAAGCGCTCAAACACTAACAAACTGACAAGATCTTTCGCTGTCTATAGCTGGGTACCCATTCCCACCTGGGTGAAGTGAGGAAAATTCGTGTAAAGTGCCTTTCCCAAGGACACAACGTCGGGCCCTTGACGGGATTCGAACCCACAACCTTACGGTTGCGAGTCCGAGAGCCTAACCACTAGGCCACCGACGCCACTTAATGACAGTGCATGTATTTTAAACCTCCTGTTTTCTAATGTTAATAGGCCTAAGATAAGTATGGTGTACTTAAGTACGGCTAGACTTCTTGGCTAGCTGTACTTAAGTACGGCGTACGGGTAGACAGCCAGGCTAGCTGTACTTAAGGACGGCTAGACTGTCTGGCTAGCCGTACTTAATATTGATGGCTGAATTGTAAATGAAATTTTTAGTTTGCAATGCCTAAAGTATTTGTATTTCAGACAAAATCAAAAGGTGCCTTACTGACTTGCATGTATTTGAACCTGAATAATTACTAGATCTAGATCTAATGAGACCTGTGTACTTAACAGGTTTGAGTCGATAGGGCCAAACCTAGATCTAAGTACGGCTAGGCTGGCAGTCTAGCTAGACTCTTAAGTACGGCTAGCCACTTCATATATACATATTAAACATTTTAATTAAAGTATATATATTTATATATATTGCTTTCCATTGTGTGTGTAAATTAGATGCTATGCTCAGCGGACCTTTATTTTGACGAGACAAAATCTAGAGTCTAGGTTTCTACATATATTTAATGTATGTATCTGTTTTCATATATTTACGATTCATATAAAACGCCTTAGCGTATTGAGTTCAATCAGTCAGTCAGACTTGTTTTATGTTTATCTCCTAATCCATTCATCTCCTAATTACTATAAGACTACTGTTGTCTAGATGTAGATATCGAGAGGCTCCATTAAAATATGAAATCAATACCCAACAACAATAATGATGAATATCTTCTATGTTAAAGAAACACCAAACCATATCAGATGAGGGGAGAGGGTAGGGTGGGTGGATAAGAGTTTGAGTCTTGTTTGATAGAACTATACTCGGTTTAGATCTAAATATATTGTTGTTGTCTTCACCTAAGATCCCACAATTTATAATTCCGGTTCACTTATTTAAGATTTCGCTGTTAAAAAATAAACCAAACAAAGTAACAAAGCAACAATAAATTTTACTGCACTAGTCATCCCTAAGATAAATTATCCCCCTCGGAAGTGTGAATGGACTAAAAACACTGCTTTCCCTATCGTACTTTACTGAACAAAAAAAACCTTCAAGGGTCATCCATGCTCATGCATGGGATCACATCTCCGCTCTAACTCTCGATTCGAGGTAAACGTTTGCTTTAGACTCAAGGATTTTACGACTGCGGGATCACGCCCAGGTGTGAATTCCTCATCGAAGCCTTTGATTTTGCCGAACATCGAACTCGCAATTTGATTAATAGCCTATCGCCTGAGCTTACAGCCAAGGCATGTTTCATTTGGTAGAGCCAACGAGGCCCCTCATTCATACCCATGTCGAGAATCATGCAGTCATAATATCTTAAATTCAGTTTAAAAAATACATTTTTCACCATTTCTTATTAAAATGAAATCTTTTAACGTCATGAAAGATTATCTTTATAATTTGGTATGTTTGATCATTTGATGATACTTGATACTTGGATAAGTTTTTTTCTTTTGCCGATCTTCTTAAATTTCAAACTAGCTATATATATAACATAAAACTCTTAAATAATTGAACAGTCCCTAGGCTTTCTCAGTTGCCTAGAACAGTCCGTGTCACACACTGAATGTAATTTTTTTTCACCTTGTCATCCCATCAGTTGATCACAATCTCTCTCTCTCTCTCTCTCTCTCTCTCTCTCTCTCTCTCTCTCTCTCTCTCTCTCTCTCTCATCTCTCATCTCTCATCTCTCTCTCTCTCTCTCTCTCTCTCTCTCTCTCTCTCTCTCTCTCTCTCTCTCTCTCTCTCTCTCTCTCTCTCTCTCTCTAGTGGTCTGTCCTGGACGACCCACACGGATCGGACCACTTCCCCATCAACCTAATTCCAGACATTCCACACCGAACTCCTATCCCAGACCGTTTCAATCTTAAAAGAGCGGACTGGGATGGGTTTCACATGGAATGTCTGGAGAAACTCAGTCCATCTCAAACACATACACAAACTTTTGAACGATTTCATGAAACCCTTCTCGAAATCTTTCAAAAACACATACCAAAATTATCCACCAAACCCCGAAAAAATAAATGTTGGTTCACTGAAGACTGCCAAAAAGCTGTTGCGGCCAAAAAATCAGCTTTCAGGAAGTTCGTCAACTCTAAAACTAACGAAGACCTCATTAATTTCAAAATTGCGCGAGCCCAAGCACGCAGAAAAATCAGAACAGCCAAGAAAACATCTTTTCGAAATTATGTCTAAAAAATCAACAACAACACACCAATGCACAAAGTCTGGAAGATGATAAAGAAATTAAAAGGTACTAAAAAAGACACAATCAAACACATCCTTAAACCGAATAACTCCTTCGTAGAAACCGAAAAAATAGTTGCTGACTGTATAGCATCAACTCTCTCCGGAAATTCCTCTACCCACAATTACAACCCTGAATTCAAAAAAGTAAAAATGTCTTCTGAAAAGACAACTGTTGATTTTACCTCTTCAAATGAAGAACACTATAATTGCAGCTTTTCTCTTAACGAATTAAAATGTAATATTGCAGAACTATCAAACACAGCTCCAGGCCCTGATCAAATACAGAACGAAATCATCAAACGTCTTCCAGACGAAGCACTCCTATTACTCCTTGATATTTACAATGAACTCTGGCATTCTCAACAATTTCCGAACAGTTGGCGTCTTGCCACTGTTATACCAATCCCAAAACCAGGGAAAGATCACTCTAACCCTTCAAACTACCGTCCCATAGCCCATACAAACTGTTTCTGTAAACTTATGGAAAAACTTATTAACAAACGTCTAATGTGGTTTCTCGAAACCTCAAACTCCTTATCCAATTTTCAATGCGGTTTTCGCAAAAATCGCTCTACTATTGACCATCTCGTCCGACTTGAAACTTTCATTCGGGAAGCTTTCATTCGAAAAGAGCACCTTGTGGCTATTTTTTTCGACTTAGAAAAAGCCTTCAACACCACATGGAAACATGGTATTCTGAAAGACCTGCATGACTTGGGCTTACGCGGAAATCTTCCAGAATTTATACGAAACTTTTTGAAAGATCGATCATTTCAAGTAAAAGTAGGTTCAACCCTATCAAATTTACACACCCAAGAAGAAGGCGTCCCCCAGGGAAGCATCTTATCGCCCATTCTTTTCGAAATCAAAATCAATTCCATCACAAAAACCCTTCAAAACAATATTGACTGCTCACTTTACGTTGACGACTTCCTGATCTGCTATAAATCCAAATCCAAAATGGATCACAATGAACGTCAGCTTCAGCTTCAACTCCATAAATTGGAAACTTGGGCAAACGGGCACGGGTTCAAATTTTCCACATCAAAAACAAACTGTGTACATTTTTGTCTGTCGCACAAGTGTGCGACAACCAGATTTATATTTGTTTGGAGAGAAAATTCCTGTTAAAAAACAAGCTCGTTTCCTGGGCGTAATCTTCGACAATAAACTTTCTTTCCTACCACACTTGAAAGACCTAAAGACGAGGTGTCAGAGTGCTCTCAACGCCTTAAAAGTATTATCCAATTCTGAATGGGGAGGAGATACTGAAATACTTCTTCAACTTTACCGTTCCCTTGTCCGTTCCAGGCTGGACTATGCCAGTCCTGTTTACGGATCAGCCAGAAAGTCTTACCTTAAAATTCTAGACCCTGTTCAGAACCAAGGCCTTCGCCTTGCCCTAGGCGCTTTCCGTACTTCATCTGTAGAAAGTTTACAGGCAGAAGCGCATGAACCATCTTTGGAACTTAGAAGAAAAAAACTCTCTTTGCAGTACGCTTTGAAACTTAGCTCAGTACCCCAAAACCCAGCCCACAAATGTGTCTTTGGCCTTACCGAAGACCTAAAAACTCTATCCTCCTTAGGAAATAAAGTAAGCCCTTTCGGAATAAGAATCCAGAACGATCTCAAAGACATTGATTTTTCTGAAGACATAATCGAGCCCTTTGCCATGTCCAGCATACCTCCATGGCATTTAACCAAACCAAACATAGATACTAGTCTTGAAAAACATAACAAAAAGTCCACAGACAAAACTACATACTTAAACTCATACAAACAGCTAATAAATAGATACCCTGAAGCAGAGAAACTCTTTACAGACGGATCCAAAAATGACTCCTCAGTAGGAGCTGCTGCCCTTGCATCGCCACACAGCTTAAGCTTAAGGAAACTCCACCCAGAAGCTTCAGTCTACACTGCTGAGGCTACAGCTCTTGAAATGGCCCTAAATATTATAGATCAATCAACCAAGTCTACCTTCCTAATCCTTTCAGACTCTCTCTCTTGTCTGAAATCTTTAGAGCGCTCTGACACCTCCGACAACAGAATTTTGAAACTTGGAGTGAACTTTTGCGAAAGTAAACAACTTGTGTTTCGCGCGCTCATACGACCTTAGCAGTTGCGAGCGCTGTAAAACCCTATACTACTACTACTACTAATTTTGAAACTTATCATTAAACTGCATTTTCTATATCAGTCTGGAAAAACTATTACAATAGCTTGGCTTCCAAGCCATGTAGGCATTGATGGCAACGAAGACGTTGACCAATTTGCCAAAGAATCTCTAAAACTACCTGAAAACAAAAATAGTAAAATCCCTTTCTCTGACATGAAACCAAAAGTAAAAGAACACATCACATCCTCCTGGTCCCAAATTTGGAATCAACAAATACACAACAAACTCCATTACATTCAACCAAAACTTACTCCCAGAAAACGACTATCTCTACCACGAAGAGAAAAAGTAATTTTTACCCGACTAAGGATAGGACACACGCACGTCATGCACAAACATTTGCTCGAAGGAGAGGAAGCTCCTTTTTGCGTGGCGTTTAACACAAGTTTCACAGTTCGGCACATCCTAATGGAATGTGTCGACTTTAATTATGTCCGTGGGAAATATTTTAAATGTAAAGATGTTAAGACCCTTTTTGACATCATAGAGCTTAGAAGAATTTTAAATTATATAAAAGAAATTGGACTGTTTAATAAAATGTGAAAATATATAATTGTCGTTGTCGGTGTATATATACATACAGTGTATATATACATACACTGGAATTTGTATTGTATATACAAATGTAAATAAGCCTTTTCCATATTTACAAAATTTTAAAAAATAAATGTTTGTTCGTCTTTTTAGCATAATAGAAATAGTGTGATCGTTTGCGGTTGCGAGCTCCGAAAGACTCTTTATTAAAAACACGTCTGATTTTGTAGCGGTGAAACCTGATGGCGCTTAAATGACCAAAATTGTGTCGATAGTGCCGTAAAACATCTACCCAATCAATCAATCAATCAGCAGCAGGGATAGGGCAAGAGAGGAGGAAAGGGAAGCTTAGCGGGAAGATGCATGCCTAAAAAAACATCGCGTTTGTTCTTCGTCATTACAATACATTTTTCTGATTGGTTGGTCAATTGAGAATGACTTAACACTTAAACTCTTCCTTGGTGGGTATATCGGATTATTCCTATTTTATATCGGGGGGGGGAGGCAGGTGGCAAATTTCCCCTCCTGGCGAAGTTACCCGAGTCTACTTTATCTGGTATTCATAACAAGTTGCCAGGAGTTTAGTTCCTGGTAATTGTGTTTATTTTTGAGGGAGGATGTATAGTTTATTAAAAGTCATATGGTTTTATTATTATTAAAATATTTGAATTGGGTATGTAGAATCTAAGAACATTGGATTTAAATTTGCATTTTATTTGAAATTACAGTCTTATGTACTTGTCTCTTTTTTGGGGGGAGTTTTGAAACTGTTTTGCAAGGTGTGTGGGAAAGGGGTCTATTGGAGTTTTACTGTCAAGAAGCACTTTGAGCCTCCAGGCTGTAAAGCTCTGTACTATTGCAATCCGTTTCACTGTTGGGAGTCCTCTGTATGATTCAGAAAGGGGTAAACCCCCCCTAAAAACCCCCCCAACAAAACAAACAAAAACTAAACAACTGACAGATCAACAGACCCACTCTCTTGCAAGCACACATGTTATTTGTTTACTTAACTATTACCTGTTTTCTTTGTATATATACTTTATGGATAAACCCATTAGAAACAACTTGAACAAATTTTGAATGATATGACAAGTCTTTTAAAAATCACGTAAACACACCATTTAATTTTTAAAAACAAATTGCTAGTTGAAGGTTGTTGTTCGTTCCGCAAGGTTAATTTTGTGTGTGTTTTTCTTCTGTCACTTAGCTCAGCCTTTGACCACGTGTGGAGCGCGGGGACCACCAACAAGCTGTCACCAGTCATCATGATGCCAGGCCAGTCTTTCTACCTGTCTACAGAAGTGTCCGCTTATGCTTGCTTACGTCCACATCACGATGTCAGGTGGTTTCAGGTGTGGATTTCAAGAAAGCTTTGTCTTGTGGCACTGGATGTAGTGGATTTGCGTACTTGCATAGAATGTGGCTAGTGTATCTTCTTGTATTTTGTTTTGAATATATGTATGACGGGTACCACTTTTTAAAATGATTATCTATCTCTCGAACTGACTACTGAAGGTCGGGCTTTTCGACTGGAGGTATCCTGAGAGTTGACCAGTTTGCTGACGCAGATGCCAGAGATGTGGAGAGGTTGGAGCCCTCACTCTCCATGCAACAAAGAATATTTTTGATGAGGTGTTCGCTGGAACTGGCGTATAGGGATTGAAGATAGGCTGGGAGCTCCAGATCGGATATGGCTCTCAAAGCAATGCCGCCAAGGGACGCAGGGAGCTTAGCCTGGGACCATCCTGTATCATGAAATGAGATGTTTGTGATATGTTTGGCTGCATGCCGTACCTGGTAGTCGAACGTTGACAGTTCTCTTGTGGCCCCGTACGTCGGGGCACTCCTTAAAGTATACAGTAGCTTTGGGGAAGCAAAGCAATTGCAGAGAAGAAAGAGAGGGCATATGAATCCAAGAGACACAGATTCTTGGACGTCGATCAATGAACTGAGTTTTTTTCTCTGGCTATTGATGTCTTCACAGCCTCCATTTTGATTGGTGCTCCCAGCTGCACCGCCTCTGCCGGCTCCACGATCGTTACCCCTGATGGGATTTATTGGGACTCCCTGTAGGCAGTCACCGAAATCCTATGTAGAATCGCCAATGTTGATTATCTCGGACTCGGGGGCAACTTGTGGGTGATGGGATCCAACGTTTGTGAGTGGCAAGGGGTTGTTTACATGATTTGTATGTGCTGCCTACCTCGGAAGAAAAGTGATTTCTCTGACAGGTGCAAGGCATGGCCCTGTTGGCTAATGGTAAAAATTGTGTTTTATATGTTTGAGCAGAACAATCTTTTGTTACTCTTCTTTTCATTTGGCTATTGACTTGGTCATTGTCATCATTGACCTCTGATACACTATGACCTCTGCTACACTAGATCTAGATGGCTGATCCTGTCTCTCCCATATAATTTCATTGGCTGCGGCACACATGCTCTCTGTTGCAACTTCTTTACTAGCTGTGAGTGAATTTTGTGAAATATTTTGGTTAAATTTGGGTACGTGATGGGCTGTGTACTGTGTTGCAATGCAAGCTCATTTTTTGAACCATTTAAATCTTAAATTTGTTGATGTATATCAATTGTGCCCAGTAAGCCATGAAAACTGCTTTTTAGATTATTGAAATTGGATGGAAAATAAATTTATGACCCTTCAAAATTTGGTGAAACTTAGAAAGAAAAATGTTCCGACTTTCTTTTACCCCACGGGTCGTACTTTCAAGGATAGTTACACCTGAACATTTCAATCTGTTAGTATTTGGACACTTGTTTTGTGAAGAGTATAATATTTTAAGAGAGTACGATAAAACACAGACAAATAGATAATGCGGTAGAAACATAAGAGACGAGATATAACTTAATTCCAGAGTCCCAATTTCGACCAATGAAAGGAAAACGAATGACACGAAGATAATAAAAACTCATACAAATCATTAAAAAAACTGTAGACATTGCATCTAATTTTTAAAAAAAGTCTAAAAGCAAGTATTTGCAAACTTACGAGGATTTAAAATTCAAAGAAATGCAATTTTCGCACAAAAAAAATTTTTTTAGCCATAAAGAAAGATAGAATTGAGATAGAAAGTTAAAACTGGTTGATACTTATGTGATTTTGTCCAAGGAATCTATTTCTGGCCTTTATTTCATTTCTTGATAACTCCATTATTTCAGTGTCAAAATACTAGTTTTTATTTTAAAAACTAAAAATGACGAGAATTTTTTGGGTGTATATAAGTGTAATAACAACTGTTATGATTATTACAAAATTTACTCAAGTACACTATGCAGTAAACTTTACCTTACATGATCACGCCATAAGCTTAAACTTAAACCCTTAACTTTAAACTTACTAGAATGACTCTGACACATTAAAATGACATGCAGCAGCAGTGTTATCTCTCTATTTTTCTTATTAAATTTAATATCTTTAATCCAGAGCTACATGTATTAATTATTTGTACACTATTATAATTTTGTCCAAAAAATTGGACCACAAAATTTTTCATTTTATTATTCTATGATAATGCTAGATCTATATTCAGACATCCATTTCTTCCTCTAAAGGCTCTCCTTCATCTACACACCCCCTTTCAACTTCATTCATCACATGAACTCTCCTCCTTGTAGTCTTAGTCTTAGGATTTGCCAAGGTCTCACTATGCTCTTCATTTGGCTCTATACCTAGGTGGCTACACAGTTCCTTGTATAGGGTTTTCAGGTTCCCTGTAAGTCGCAGATCTTTTGCATTCGTAAATTACTTCCTTAATCTGATTTGCACCTTTAAATTATAAAGTGCATTTAGCCCCCTGTGTAAATTTTTCATTTTACAATTCTATGATAATGCTAGGATCTATATTCAGACATCCATTTCTTCTTGCCAAGGTCTCACTATGTTCTTCATTTGGCTCTATACCTAGGTGGCTACAAAGTTCCTTGTATAGGGTTCTCATGTTCCCTGTAAGTCGCAGATCTTTTGCATTCATAAATTACTTCCTTAATCTGATTTGCACCTTTAAATTATAAAGTGCATTTAGCCCGGGCCTCATGAGACTGCGTAATTCTTCTTTGGTTTCACTCAAACCACCCTGGCTCACCAATTCTGTGAGGAGATGTGCTTGTTTTTCTTTCTCATTTTTTTTTCTCTTCTCTCTTTCTTTCTTTTTCTTGGATTTTCCTTTTCACAGCTGTTATGACACTTTTGATTGCTGCTTTGTGGGGTTTTTTTTTTCAAGGGCCCACTATGCTTCCTTGCATTTTCCATGATTTTTCTTTGATTTGTCTGATTTTTGCTTGTCAAGAATTTGGATGTCTGATTGTGTTTCCACCTGCTGATGGTGCTCCGCAAGAATGTGGTTGCTTTCCTTCTTTTCACCATGTCATAATCCAAAATCTCCAAACGTCTTTTCCCGTCAGAGTTGTCAAAGGGCACATAGATAAAACCTCCTTGACAGAAGAGGGAATTTCTCCCCCATGCACCCCTCCAAGCAATATTGAGTTACTGGTATCGTCTTAAAGCTTGTTCAGTTGTCTTGCTTATGCCTATAACCATCATTTAAATAGTAAATGCACTCCATACAGCTGCCTTGACAGTGTACCTTTCCACATAGTGTTCTTTGCTACACTTTTCCCAAATGAGTTTGTTGAGATTTTCGTTGACATTTTGTGTTTTTCCGTACCAGATTCCTATCAGCTAAATCTGCAAACATTTGCTTCACAAATTCAACAACACTATTAATTTGGCAATCCATTCGTATGCTTGTAACTATTTTCATCCTGGGTTAGTTCTAACAGGTAGGATCGGAAGCCCGCCTCCCTAAATGATCTAAATTGCGTTGATGGCGTAAATCATCATTATTTATAAATGAAATAGAATCTTTATAGTGTTTAAGGAATTTTTAAGAATATTATAAGGAAGAGGTGTTAATAAAAAAAATATTGATCTTCTGGGATAAATTGGTTCAACATTAAGTTGCTGTTCAAAAGTTGAAGTATTTGACAAGTTGTGCCATGAATATTTGGCCACACTGTTGTGCTATTGTGAAAACAATTTGTTGTGTTTTTGTAACATTCCTTTTATTTTATGTACTGAGAAATCTTTTTGCTGACTATGGTAGTTATTGTTTGTGATTGTGGTTTCCATGTACCAGTGCTTTGTTTTCTAGTACAATGTAGTGAAAGATCCACGTCTTGTCTTTTTTTTTTTTTTTTTAGTCCCTGACTTGGGTAGGCCCCCTGTGTATGTGAACCCAGATATTTAATACGGCGGCTTTGAGAAGGTCTTGATTTTTCTTACTTTTACTTAATGTAATGCTGTGGTGTTATTTGTGAGAATGTTACTACTTTTGCATTTTTTAAAGATATTTTTCTTTTGTTTTTGTCTTACTTTCTGTTTACTGTGTTATGTTGTGGAGAAATCTTTTTGCTGACTGTGCAGGTGTAGGTAACTGTTATGTTGATGTGTCAGATGTACACATGTACATGTAGAATATGAAGAGGTTGTCGCCTTCTTTTTTTTTTTTCTCTTCACATGTTCCCTTTGCTGACAGTAGCAGGTGGTTGTGGTTTGGATGTACCAGGCACACGATTCTACTCTGTGTGTAAGAAGTATGAAGAGGCTGCTTCTTGTTTCACTTTTGTGTGGGATGTATTGGGTCTCTCTGCTGACACTAGCAGGTGATTGTGGTTTGGAATGGATGTACCAGGTCTACGATTCTATATCTGTCCCCATGGTTTTATGCACCCTGCATAATTTAGCAATCTGATCATTTTTGGCATAATTTCTGATTATTTTGCTTTCTCATTCTTTGTTAAAAATTAACAGAATCGCATAATTTCACATTTTTGGGCTCAGTTTGCATAATTTCAGATTTTTTGGGGCATGGCATAAAACCACGGGGACAGCTATATGTATGTAAGAAGTATACAGAGAGTTGAGCCTTCTTTTTTTGTTCACTACTTGTCATATGACTGTTGTGTGGGATGTATTGGGTCTCTTTGCTGACAGTAGCAGGTGGCTGTGGTTTGGATGTACCAGACCTGCAATGTATATATAAGAAGTATGAAGAGAGTTAGTTGAGTCTTCTTTCTTTGTTCACTGCTTCTCATCTGACTGTTGTGTGGGATGCATTGGGTGTCTTTGCTGACAGTAGCAGGTGGGGGCGGTTTAGATGTACCAGGCTCATGACTCTTGTTTGTCTTCATTTGCCCCCACTTTTTTGGGGTGCAGGATTGTTTCTTTTGCTGACAGTAGTAGGTGGCCGTGATTTGGGTGAACCAAGTTCATGAGTCTGTTCTTGAAATTGAAAGTTATAATAGAGTTGAGCCTTCTCTTTTTTCTTTTGTCTTCATTTGCACATTTTTTTTTAGATGCAGGATTGTTTCTTTTGCTAACAGCAGTAGGTGGCCATGATTTGGATGTACCAGGTACTCGACATGAGCCAGTATTGGAACGTCTTTGTCCTATTTATCCCCTCGCTAGTCCATGTTTGTTGGGTGGGTGGGCGGAGGGGGTGCGTTTTACATCTAACGTGCTGAAATCAACATTTGCACAAGTAGTAAAGACATGCAGTTTGAATACATGTTTGAATCGAGGAAAAATAATGCAAGATAAGGGGGGGGAAGTGGAAATCCAAGATGGCCATCATAATATTGGCGGCCTCTGGATTTTATTCCCAGTTTCGAATCTCTACTCCTAAAGTTTACCAATGGGTTTGCTTGAAAATTGAAACCTAGAGACGGGGCGGGGTGGTGGTGGTATTGGTATTGGTATTGTAATTAATGCATTGAGTTTTTTTCCAGATATTTTTCAAAATGAATGACGTTACTGTTCTTTGCAGTGTCAGGCGTGTCACAAATCCTACTTGTACTAGAACTAGATCGGTAGATTTTCAACTTCAGATCAGTCTAGAATTCCAAAGATGAATCCAGTAGCTTGAAAATGTGTGCTGACGCTAAGAAAAATAACCAGCCTTGAAATTTAGTTATCAAAAGGCTTACCAATCAACTCTTGGAGCTGCAGTATAGTCTCAATTACTTGCATTACTCCGAACTTTCATGAACAAGACTTTCAGATCCAAAAAGTGATTTCATTATAATAATGTCCTTGTCTTCTTTCCAACCCTTCTACCTTTTTCTTTGCGGTGACCACTCTACTGCTAAGCGCTCTGCCCTCAGATAGACTTTAGTTGTGTCTAGTAGGGCACTGACCGTGTGCGACGAACACGTTCTGTGAACCAGGCAGCGAGTCCTTTTGCTGCCAGTACATGTGGCCGTAATGTGTTTGTACTGGAGGCATCCCTCTCTTTGGGTTTGCCCCGTTCATCCTTTCTGCTACCGCTATTATTGTGATCTTGTGATAATATGCGGTCATTCCATGCCGACGTGGTGGAAACTTTTGAAGCTCAATGATTAGACAGCCGCATCAGTGGTGTAGTAGTTAAGTGCTTTGCGATTACGCACAGAGGACCTGAGCCCACCTCCCGTGTGGGGAGAATTTTTATGGGGTGTCTGTCTTTTTTCTGGGACGTTGTATCCCTTTTAGCCCCGGTTGGCGCTGACAGGGAGGGTCGGAAGTTTGTCTTCTAAATGATCTACATTATGTCCTAAAAAGACATGCATTAAGAAAAAAAGTAATGAGAAATTTTCAACAACCCTTATGCCTGCAGGGAACAGCAAGCCGGTTCAGTGCATACTGACACCAGATTTCCAGTCTTTAAAATCTGTATCTGAACCAGCTGGCAATGACATTTTCTCTGTTCACAAGATAGTTGTGAAATCTAAGTGAAACGTTTTTTCTTTTTCCCCATCTGCTTTTCAGCATGCCATTGTGCTTCATCAGACACAGTGAATGCCTGGGGGTCCAGATACCCACTTCTTTCTGCTGGGACATTGTGTTGCTCTCACTCTCAGCCCAGGTTGGCCAATTACAGGCATGGTTGAAGCACGCCTCCTATATGATTTAAATTGAGTTGAAAATTTTACTCAGACTCCAGTATATATGTGCTCCGGTGTACATTTGTGTCATGTTTACTTGGGTATTAATATATTGTCTGTGGTTTTTTTTTTTACCCCTTTGTTCTTTTTCTTAGTACTGACTATTGCCACTCACTAAATAGTAAGTACTCTCTTCCCCCCTGAGAGACTTAGTTGTGTCTAGTGGGCGATAAACGTGAGCGGAAACGTTCATTGAACCAGACAGGTATGTAGACTTTGCGAATGCCGTAAAACTCTTACTGAACGAAAACTAATGAACCTAGCAGCGAGTTCTTTTGCTGTCAGTACATGTGGCCGTTATGTGTTTGTACCGGAGGGAACCCTCTCTTTGGGTTTACTCGGTTCCTCCTGACCGCTGCTGCGATATTGTGGTACCGGTATGCGCAGTCGTTTCATGCCGACTTGAAGTGAACTTTTTAAGCTCAACAACCTTTCAGGTTTCTTTGTGGAGTCTAGAGATATTTTTCTTTTGTTTTTGTCTTACTTTCTGTTTACTGTGTTATGTTGTGGAGAAATCTTTTTGCTGACTGTAGCAGGTGTAGGTAACTGTTATGTTGATGTGTCAGATGTACACATGTACATGTAGAATATGAAGAGGTTGTTGCCTTCTTTTTTTTTCTTCTCTTCGCATGTTCCTTTTGCTGACAGTAGCAGGTGGTTGTGGTTTTGATGTACCTGGCA